GGTGGGCTAAGAGGATCACAGAGCTGGAGTCAGAGCACCTGGAACTCATCCCACCTCTGCCAGCTGTGTGATCTAGGGTTGGTAAGGGCACTTTCACTTGTACCAGAACTGTCTCCACCTCTCAGTGTTCAGTATGACCTTGAGTGTAAACACATTTAGGAACTGTTGTTTAGGTCTTCGAATGCAAGGTACGAAATATTGCCTTGGATGAGCCCTCTTCTGTGAGCTAATCTGTAAATTGATGATAATCACCGGATCCCGGTGAAGAAGAAAAGACCCAAGGAACGTAGGCCATGCGATGCGTGAATGCACCGGGCTTGAAACACCTCAGCGCGACACTTCGTTTTACTTTCTGACTCACCTAGGAACAGTTTCGTCAACTTTGGGGTGGGGAGGTGACTAGAAACCCTCCGAAGACCAAAGACGGGGTAAGCTACCTGCCTCCGCCCCTTTAACCATTTTCTTCCTAACCCCACTTTAAAGACAAAAGACGGAGGCCAGAGGCGCCGGGAACCTTGGCCAACTGGGCTCCTTCGCGCCGCACCGAGCTCTAGCGCTCCCGCCGCCAGGGGGCGCTGCGGCCGCGCAGGCTCGCCGGGGGCGGGGCGAAGGCGGAGCCTGTCCGTAGACATGGCGCCGTCCGCGCTGCTGCGCCACTTCTCGCGGCTGCTGGCCCCCGCCAGGCTCCCGAGCGGCGGTGAGTGTCCCTTCTTCTGCCGGCCCCCTCGACCCTCAGCCTTCCCCTGCCCAGGGCGGTCCTGACCTCCGCGGGCAGCAGACGGCGGCGACCCGCGCTCGGCCTAGTGACCTTCGCCGGCCACGGTCCGGAACCCACCTGGGTCCTCTCGGTCCTCGTCTCGCACTCTGCAGGCTGAGTCCCGCACACACCAGGAGGGGACCCTCGGGTGGTGCCTCTGCGGCCCTCCGCGGGTCTGAGTCGCCGCCCTTCGGCGAGGCTCGGGGGCGTCCTTCAGGACCCGTTTCCTGGGCCGTTGAATGGGGGGATCGAAGGAAGAATTCACCCCGTTACGCGTAACTGCTAGTTCCTTTGTCGGCCCGCGGTCAGTTAGACGGCCTGTGTTCCCTTTCAGCTTGTGCACGGTCCAAGTTCTACCTGCGGGACCCGCCGAACGACCAGCCGGACTGGCTGAAAGTCGGGCTGACCTTGGGTACCACCGTCTTCCTGTGGTTCTACGTGAGTACTTAGTCCCCAACACGCGTCCCGACCAAGCCGAGGGCAGTGAGACCGAATGTTGAAGACGTAATGTGTGGAGACAGAATTCCCCTACAGTATGATATTCGTGTATCCCTAATAACCTATTTCTCCCTAAAGGGAATAAAAAAAAAAGACTTAAAAGAAATTAAGATTTCAGCAGTATGGAAAAAGTATGATAAGGTTGAAATTTCTGTCATCTATTTTTATGTAGCATAGTCTTGTGAAGAACAGCAGTTATACCAATACATTATTTCTTAATTAGTTTTGAAGCTCGTTAGGGTTTTATGAAGGCACCTCTTTTCAATGACATAGGGACACATAGGCAGTAAACAAGTTTACAAATTAAATTTCATTAGACTTCCAAAACATTAGAGTTTTAAAAAGTGTAGGTCTTATCAGGGACTGTCTGTAATCCCAGCGGCTCAGGAGGCTGAGACAGGAGGATCTGGAGTTCAAAGCTAGCCTCAGCAAAAGTGAGGAGCTAAGTAACTCAGTGAGACTCTGTCTCTAAATAAAAAATACAAAATAGGGCTGGGGATGTGGCTCAGTGGTTGAGTGTCCCAGTGCAAAAAAAAAAAAGTCTCTCTCTTTTTTTTTTTTTTTGCCATGCTGGGGATGGAACCCAGGGCCTCTTGTATGCTAGGCAAGCCCTCTACTACTGTGCCCCAAGCCCCAAAACATTAGGAATTAATCAGTGTTTATATAAATATTTTGCTGAAAATTGTACTTAGTGTATAGCAGGGTATTTGATGTTTTCTTGTGCTTTACTTGTAAACTTTCCTTTAATCATTATTAAGTGATACATATTGTTGACTCTTTTACAGGTGAAGAAATTTAGAAACATTAGTTTGCTGAACCCAGTTTCACCTTACTGCAGAACTTTGCTACACCATTGTAAAACATTGCTTCTCTAGAGATAAAATTATTTTTTTTAAGTTGACTAAAAAAAAAGGTGTTATGGATATAGCTCAGTTGGTAGAGTGCTTCCCTCCAATGTACAAGGCCCTGGGTTCAATCCCCAGCACCAGGATGGATGAATGGATAGATAGATAGAAAGAATGAATGAATAAAAGTATCTGCTGTATTGGTTTTTGTTTTTAATTTGGTACTTAGGATTGCACCCAGGAGCTTAATCATTAAGCCACACCCCCAGCCCTTTTTATTTTTCTTTGAAGACAAGGTTTCACCAAGTTTCTTAAGGCCTGAGAAATGCTGGGGCTGACTTTGAACTTGGGATTCTCCTGCCTCAGCCTCCCAGGTCACTGAAATTACAGGCATGTACCACCACACTTAATCTCTTATTTGGGATTTTCTCTTCAAAGTGGTTTAGATCAGCTGGGTGCAGTGGCACATGCTTGTAATCCTAGCTACTCGGGAGGCTGAGGCAGGAGGATCCCAAGTGTAAAAGCCTGTCTTTAAAAAAAAAAAAAGGGTGGGGGGCTAGCAATACAGCTCAGTGTTAGAGCAACCCTAGGTTCAATCCCCTGTACCAAAAAAAAAAAAAGCCAAAATAAATAAAGTGGTTCAGATCTTTGAATAGGAAGGGGTAGGAGATGTTGAAAGTCACAACTTAATGGTAACTACTCTTTTTCAATAATTTTTGTAAGGGAATGTTTTCCCTTTTTTGGTGAGGGGGACAAGGGGCCTTAATTTTAGAGACAAGATCTCCCCTAGTTGTTGAGACTGGCCTCAACAAACTTGGGATCCTCCTGCCTCAGTCTCCCGAGTAGCTGGGATTATGGGTATACACAACCATACCAAATTTATAATGAAAATTTATGTGTTCTTTTTTTTTAAGAGAGAGAGAGAGGAAAGAAAATTTTAATGTTTATATTTTAGTTTTCGGCAGACACACATCTTTGTTTGTATGTGGTGCTGAGGATCGAACCCGGGCCGCACGCATGCCAGGCGAGCGCGCTACCGCTTGAGCCACATCCCCAGCCCTTTATGCATTCTTAGTTTAACGTGTTTCCTAAAAGAAAGCTTCATTGCTGTTTAGAACACTAATGATCGAAACTGGATCTTTGCTTGTCATAAAGGTCCTGTATCAGATGCATATTCTATCAGTGATTCTAAGAAAGTAACTGTCCTCTGACATCTAATTAATCCACAGATAGTTGAGGGATGAAGTTGGTATGTCATCCCAGTATCAAACCTCTATGGTTAGAAGTGTAACACACACCCACCAGCCTGAATCTGTAATATCCGAGTTCTACTGTGCCCCGTTGATTTTGTCCCTCTGTGGTAAGGCTCTCCATTATATTTATTACCCACCAAGTGAAATTTCACACAAGTTCAATTTTAATGTTTAAGGGTTGTCTTTTTATATTTAGTATGTCAGATTATGGGCAACAAATATATGCCATTCATGGTTTTTGGACTTTTGAATCTCTTTAGTTTTTTTTTTGTGTGTGTGTGGGGGGGGGGAGGTTACTGGAGATTGAGCTTGGGACCACTTGACCACTGAGGCACCTCCCAAGCCCTATATTGTATTTTATTTAGAGACAGGGTCTCAGTTGCTTAGTTCCTCGCTTTTACTGAGGCTGGCTTTGAACTCCCAATCCTCCTATCTCAGCTTCCCAAGCTTCTGGGATTACAGGAGTGGGCCACCATGTTCCACTTCTTAGCTTTTTATTTCTCTCTAGAATAGTAATTAATCTACCCTGTTCCTCTTAAAAAAACATAAGCATCTGGGGCTGGGGTTGTGGCTCAGTGGCAGAGTGTTTGCCTCATACCTGTGAGGCACTGGGATCGATCATCAGCACCACATAAAAATAAACAAAATAAAGATATTGTGGTAAGTGTGTGTGTGTGTGTGTGTATGTATATAAAATATTTATTTCTTAACTTTAGGTAGACACAATATCTTTATTTTTATGTGGTGCTGAGGATCGAACCCAGCACCTCATGCATGCCAGGCGAGTGCGCTACTACTTGAGCCATATCCCCAGCCCCTAAAAAAATTTTTTTTAAAAAAGTAAGCATCATTAGTTAATTCCCCTTCTCTTTGCCAGAAAGACTACATTTCTAATTTTAACTGTTAACTTGTAGCTCATCAAACAACATGATGAAGATGTTTTAGAGTATAAAAGAAGAAATTCTTTGGAGTAAATTCTTTTGGAGATACTAATATAGTAAGTATACATTTATATAGTATACATTTATATATATATATATATAAGTATACATTTATATACATATAAATACATATATATATAAGTATGCATTTATATATATATATAGGTGATGAGAGTATGCAACTTAATTTGACCTCTTTTTAAATACAGTAGTTTTGTTTTGTCTTTTAGGCTTATACTTTGTAGTGCCAGATTTCTGTCTGTGACACATTTATGAATTTTTATACCTTGGCTTCAGCAACTTTTGGCATAATGATTTTTTAAATTGTTTTTAAGATGTTGATGAACCTTTATTTTATTCATTTATTTATATGCAGTGCTGAGAATCTAACCCAGTGCCTTCACACATGCTAGGCAAGTGCTCTACCACTGAGCCACAATGCCAGCTTCGAGCATAATCATTTTTTAATCATTAATTTACTGTCTTCAAAGACAGTTATGCTTAAGAATGAAACCAAAATTATATATTTTTTAATCTAATAGTTCTTTACTCTTTGCTTTCAAAGCATTTATGACAAATTATCATAATTTGTTTGTATATTTTTTAATATGTTTGGCATATCCCGCACTAAATTCCATGAAAGCAGGAACACTGTTTTATTAATGGTAATGTACTCTGCAGCTTGCTGAATGCCCATCTAATCTAAAATCTAGAATGGGTGACTCTAGATTTTGGATTTTTTTTTTTTTTAATAGTTGTAGATGGACAGCATTCCTTTATTTTATTTTACTTTTTTCATGCAGTGCTAAGTATTGAAATCAGTGCCTCATATGTGCTAGGTAAGTGCTCTACCACAAAGCCACAGCCCCAGCCCTGGAATTTTTTTCTGCATGACCCTTTCATTATCTCTGTCCAACTAACACCTAGTTGGATAATTTCTGATAATATCTAGCTATGAACAAGATATACTGTGCATGATTCAAGAGAATTTGATTAAAATAGATAACTTTTATCTGCTGAAAAATAAATATAGTGATCAAAAAATACAGTTTTGCATATTTAACAACTCAATGTCAGTGCTTTAGGGTTGACTATCCAAATCTTTTGCTTCTTTGTTTTCTATAAATAACACCTTACCTAGTGGGCTGGGGTTGTCGGCTCATGGTAGAGTGCTTGCTTTGCACGTGAGATACTGGGTTTGATTCTCAGCACCACATAAAAACAAATAAACAAAATAAAGGTATTGTGCCCATCTACAACTTATGTACATATGTATATATATAAAATAATACCTTGCCTATTTCACTGTTCCGATCAGCCAATCAAGAGATGAAAATAAGTCATTTAAATTAAAAACAGATGACTTTTGTTATTTCATGGTTCAAACCATATTTTTGTTAAAATTTAAAATAAAGTACTAATATTCTTTGTAGATACGTTTTCTAGACTTTCCCCAGTTCACTAAGATGAATTATTTAGTCTAATTTTAATATTTTTTTCTGGTAAATGCTACAGTTGAATTCTTTTTCCTCTTTGTTGTAGGTATGTTCCATATAATGATTATAGAAGATCTTCTGGATTCACCAATCTATTGAGTTTCAAATGTCAGAGAAAGTTAAATGTGAATATATATGAAGTCAGAATTTGTGTTTTGCTTGATTAAATGAAAATACTTCTATGTTCTGCAAATAATACATATTATGACAACTTGTAAAACGTGTAAGGTACATTATTAGAAATTCTTAAATACGGAAGACCATCTTATAACAAGGTCAGTGGTATTTTAAAAAATTCATAAGAGGACTTGTTCTTGGGGCTGGGGTTGTGGCTCAGTGGTAGAGTGTTCACCTAGCATGCATGAGGCGCACTGTGTTCGATCCTCAGAACCACATAAATGTAAAATAAAGATATTGTGTCCACCTAAAACTAAAAAATAAATATTAAAAAAAAGACTTGTTCTAGAGATGAATTCAATAATCCCTGCTGATGAATTTACTTCTTATGAACTTTTAATTTCTGATTAAAACACTTATTCTTTAGTATGTCAAGGAGACAGGACTACTTTATTACTCAAAATGCAAAAGGTCCTAAATGTTTTTTTCTTCTAGAGAAGCCATTTTGGTAAGTCAGAAAGTAAAGATGAATTCTTTTATCAGTAGTTCTTCTAACTTCATTTCCTTGAATTTAAATGATTTTTATTTGGGTGAAATTTGTTGTCTTTTTTTTTTTTTTTTCTTAAATATTTTTTTAGTTGTAGATGGACACAATATCTTTGTTTATTTTTTATGTGGTGTTGGGGATTGAACCCAGGGTCTCATGCATGTGAGGCAACCGTTCTACCACTGAGCTACAACCCCAGCCCCCACTTTTTTTAAATATTTATTTTTTAGTTGTAGTTGGACACAATACCTTTATTTTATTTATTTTTATGTGGTGCTGAGGATCAAACCCAGGGCCTCTTACATGCTAGGCGAGCACTCTACTGCTGAGCCACAACCATGGCCCCCTGTTGTCCTTTTTTAATAATATGACTTTTATCCAATGATTTAGCAAACTCTAGATTCTTTTTCTTTTTTTTTTTTTCTTATTTTAATAGTCTTTAAGTTGTAGGTGAACACAATACCTTTATTTTATTTATCTTTGTGTGGTGCTGAAGATCAAACCCAGGGCCTCACACATGCGACATGAGTCCTCTACTGCTTAGCCCCAGCCCCAATTCCTAGATTGTCCGTAAAAAGAAGGAAGAGGGTCAGTTGTGGTAGCGCATGCCTGTAATCCCAGTAGCTTGATAGGCTGAAGCAGGAGGATCTGGAGTTCAAAGCCAGCCTCAGCCACTTAGGGAAGCACCAAGCAACTTAGTGAGATCCTGTCTCTAAATAAAATATTAAAAAGGGCTGGGGATGTTGCTCAATGGTTAAGTGCCCCTGAGTTCAATCCCTGGTATTCATTATTTGCATCTTCTTTTTGAAGTTAAGTAGAAAAGTCTATTACTTTTTAACTGGTATTATATGTATTTTGGGCTTTGGCCAACACTCATTCTGGAGGACTCAACCCAGTATCTTTGGAAGTCATTCTGAATTCAAAGTTACTTTATTTCAGAATAATTATTTAATATATATTCGATGAATAGATATTGATAATAGAGACTATTACTTTGTGTCAGTTTGGATTCCTGTTAAAATTGGAGGTGCCTTAGAGATTACATAGACAAATTTCATGCAGCTATAGTAACCAGAGGTGCAAAGTGCACTGTCCAACATCTGTGGTTAGCAGAGTAATGAATCAATCAAGATGTTTATCTCATAGCAAGAACAGGTGTATGTGTCAGATTGTATGGCAAAGGGGAGTTCATTGCAGTGGAATTAAGATTTCTGGGCTGAGGATGTAGCTCAAGTGGTAGCGCGCTCGCCTGGCATGCGTGCGGCCCGGGTTCGATCCTCAGCACTACATACAACCAAAGATGTTGTGTCCGCCGAAAACTAAAAAATAAATAAATAAATACATATTTTTAAAAAATGATTTCTAATCAACTAGCCCTAAGATGAGACTACCCTGTATTGTCTAGTTGGGCCCACTAATCACAAGAATTCTTATAAAGGGAATAGGAAGGAAAGCAAGAGAGTATTTCAGAGTGATGCAGTATGAGGATTCAATCTGCCATTGCTGGTTTTGAAGGTGGAAGGAGGCCAAGAGCCAAAGACTACCAAGAAAACAAATTCTCAGGGCTGGGGCTGGGGCTGGGGCTCAGTGGCAGAGTACTTGCCTGTCATGTGTGGGGCACTGGGTTTGATGCTCAGCACCACATACAAAAATAAGCAAATAAAATAAAGTCATGCTGTCCATCTGCAACTACCAAAAAAAAATTTTTTTTTTAAATCTCTCCTACAATTTACAAAAAGGAATGATCCTGTTAACACCAAATTTGTTTCAGCCCAGTGAGACACCTATAAAGCAGCAAGATAATAAATCTTCATTATTCCAGGTCACAGACTTTGTTACAGCAGCAATAGGAAACTGATACTATCACATACAAATTGAGGCTAAGAGGTCAGGTAACAACTCGAAATTAAGAGCATTTTCCACACAGCACTTAGAAATTCATATCTCCAAAGGGATTAAAAATGTTAATGAGACTTGAAATTTTGGAAACTGATGGTCTTATTTGAAAATAAAATATACCTTTAATAAACGGTAGCTTTGGGCTGGGGTTGTGGCTCAGTGGTGAAGTGCTTGCCTAGTTAATTGTTTGAAATTGTTTATAAAAGCTTCTATATGTCAGGTCTGGAGAATGTAGCTACTCTTGGTGGATTTTCCTCTTGGTGGAGCCTCTGTAACTCTAGGGGGAGCCTTTATGAAGACCAGGCTGTCCAAGAGTACAATGGCAGAATGCTCTGTGCTATCTAGTACAGCAGCCACCAGTCCCATGTGGCTGATGAGAATTTGGAATGTTGCATGTATCTACATTTTTAATTTAAATACAAGTGATGGTACCTACTGTGTTAGACAGCAGTTCCTAGAATCCTTAAACAAATAGTTTAAAAATTTATCATCACTACAAAATGGTGCTGGTTTAAAAAAAAATAAAGTGCTTCCTAAATTAAATAATTGAAGCTTAAGTTGGACTTTAAAAAGCAAAAAATTCTGAAGCTACACATCCCCAAACAGGAATGCACCCAGGACACAAATGTTATCACAACTTAGCCTTAGCTGTGCTAACTGAGCAACTGAGCATCTGCTTATCTCCTTTGCACCAGCCTACCACCCACGTTGTGAAGAGAAGCCCACGGGAGATAGCTCCTGGGATTGTATCAGGAGAGTTGCTAGGCTGAGCAAGAACCCTTCTGATTCTAAATTCCCAAAAGAATCTACAAATTAACTGTGATCAAAGGATGATTGTTAGTAATAACACAAAAAGAACTAAGGATGCAAACAAAATCATACCAAGTACACTCAAGATTTTTATCAGATTAATATCAAGTTCAGATTCAGCATTTATGAGGTAAATCATTTGAATTTTTTTACTGCTATGGGAAAAAAACAGGCTGTATGAATTAAATTTCTAGTATTTGAAGTTGTTATGGGTTGAACTATATCCCTTAAGTTATGTTGAAGTCCTAATCCTTAGTGCCTCAGGAGAGTGATTTTATTTAGAAATAGGGTTATTGCAGATGTAAGTTCAGTTCAGGGCTGGGTCTGTAGCTCAGTGGTAGAACGCTTGCCTAGCACATGTAAGGCACAGGGTTCAATCAGCACCACATAAAAATAAATAAAAGGGGCTGGGGATGTGGCTCAAGCAGTAGCGTGCTCGCCTGGCATGTGCACGGCCCTGGGTTCGATCCTCAGCACCACGTACAAATAAAGATGTTGTGTCCGCCGAAAATTAAAAAATAAATAAATAAATTTTAAAAAATAAATAAAAGGTATTTTGTCCATCTACAATTTAAAAAATTTTTAAAAGATGAGTTCATACTGGAGTAGATTGGGCCTTAAATACTAGGAGTATTTAAAAGGAGGGACAATTGATCATAGTGATCATAGTGGGACCTGTAGTCCCAGCTGCTAAAGAGGCTGAGGCGGGAAGATCACTTGACCCCACAAGTTTGAGACCAGCGTGGGCAATATAGGGAGACCTGTCTCAAAAAAAGAGTAGAAAGACACACAGAGTCAAGCACAGTGGTACGTGACTTTAATCTCAGCAACTTCAGTGGCTTAGGCAGGAGTATCACACATTTAGGTCAGCCTTGGGAACTTAAGGAAGACCTAAGCAAATTAGGGAGATCCGTGTCTCAAAAATAAAAGTGATGGGGGATGTGACTCAGTGATAAAGCATTCCTGGGTTCAATCCTCAATAACAACAAAAAAGAAAGCCATGGAGGCAGACCTTGGAGTGATGCATCTACAAGCCAGGGTTCAGGCAAACAGCAAGATCTAGAAGATGCAAGAAAGGATTCCCCCTAGGAGGAGGTTTCAGAGGGGGCATGCCCTGCCAACACCTTGATTTCAGCTTTCTAGCCTCTAGAGCTGTGAGACTAGATTTCTGGTTTTGTTGTTGTTTTGTTTTTTTAATTTTTTAAAAAAATATTTTTTAGTTGTTGATGGACCTTTATTTTATTCATTTATTGTTATGTGGTGCTGAGAATTGAACCCAGGGCCTCACAGATGCGAGGCAAGCACTCTACCACTGAGCCACGACCCCAGCCCTAGATTTCTGTTTTAAGCCACCTCAGTTTATAGTAATTTGTTTATAATATCCTTAGGAAAGAAAAGACTACAGAAATGTTAGGGGATCTCATGTTTATTTTTCTACCAAAGGGAAAATGAATAGATGAGAGTACTGAGCATCCTCCAAAAATAGTTTAAGAATTTATCATCACAATTTCCTTTTCTCCTTCATTTTATCCAAATGGTTTAGGATAGAGTGCTTATCAGGACTTTCTTAATTGCTTGCCAATTTGTCTTCCTAGCTACTCTTATAAATTATTTCACTTTCTATCAGTATCAATCTGTTAGAAATACAGATTGTGCTAGGTATTTGCTACAATCGCAGCTGTTTGGGTGGCTGAGGCAGGAGGATCACAGGTTCAAGACTAGCCCCAGCAATTTAGCAAGACCCTATCTCAAAATAAAAAGGGTTGGTGATGTAGCTCTGTGGTAGAGTGGCCCTGGGTTCAGTTTCCAACACAAAAAATAATCAAACAGTTTGCAACCTAAGAATTAACTATTAAGGAAAAAGCGGCTTCTAGCTTTCTTTGGAATCTAAGAAATAATTTAATCTCTCAAAATTGTTTTTTTAGTTACATAACACTTAAACCCTGAAGGTATAATTAATATTGTCAGTATAATTAATATTGTCAGGACTTTCACAATAAGTTTTCAAAATTAGTACCATCCTGTCAACAATCCAAGGTTAGATGGAGGTCATATGAAGTAAGCCAAGTTATCTCCAACTGTAGATTTTTGTTTTCCAACCAGACCAGAAAAATGCCAAGGATGTGCTCAGGGGCAGCATTGTGAATAATGTGACCCAAGGCTGGGAAACTTGCCTGAGCTTTACATAGCAAAGAACTAAGGTTAAAGTTCTCAGGGGTTAAGGAAAAACAACTGAAAATTAACAGTGAATTTGACAACCAAAGGGCAATGTCCTCTCTGGGGAAATGTTTCATCAAGATATGAAAAGAATTTGCCACCCAAGTAGAAAGCCATATAAGCTATAGGAACAAAAGAGTAAGTAATTCCCTTGAACCTGAGAGGCAGGAGCCTTTATCTAAGAAAAGAATCTAAAGAAATGGCAGTAATTTCATCATAGTTCGTCTCCCAGCTGGATTGCCACATCCAACCTAGAGGGCAAAACTTCCCACTGGACCTCACTACCTGGTAAGTAAAGGTGGAAGACAATAATGAGTTCCCTCATATGCCACACTGAGAGGCAGAAGAGCATAGCAAGGGAGCCTTGGAAACCTGAGCTTTGCTTAGGCTGGAAGTCAGGATCTAGTGTTGCCTCCTCCAACTAGCTAAGCACATTTCATGCCTAACTGCTTTAGAGCACTTACCAACCCTATCAGTAAAGGAATTATCCACATTTTATTCAGATCAGATATTTGATTCCCAAATTTGTGCTCTTGGCCACAGTTTAACAACTACCTCAAAGTTTTCTTTTCATATGTAATGTAAGGATAATCAACATTCCCCCCCACCTATTCCTTAGCATTGGTAAATAGAGTGACAATGCTTTGGGAGAAAAACAATTGGGGAGAGCTGTACTGGGGATTGAACCTATGGGCATTCAACCTCTGAGCTATATCCCTAGCTTTTTTATTTTTTGAGACAGGGTCTTCCTAATTGCTGAGGCTGGCTTTGGACTCGTGATCCTCCTGCCTCAGTTTTCTGAGTTGATGGGATTAGTTGCCCAGTGCATTGTTTAAACCAATTTGACTTTGGCCAAAACTCTTTAAATTATCTTTATTATTGATACCTAGTCAGAGATTTCATTGACCCCATTGATGGTGAGCTTGACAGCAGCTCAAGAGAAAAGACGTTGATACTGTGTCTCTTTAACCTTAAGCCATAGTCTCTGTAAGTAATAACAATTTGTCTTGTTCAGACTGGTCCCACAATGTTGCCCATACTGGCCTTGAACTCACAATCCTCTAGCCTCCTGAGTAGCTGGGATTACAGGTGTGTATCACCACACTCAACAATTTACTATTTAATTCTGAAAGCCTTAGAACTGGAATTGTTTATAAATATTGTTTATAAGTGTTTGCTCAGAAAGAATACCATTTAGGGGAGCTTTAGGATTTAAGGCTTACAATATACAGTATTAAATACAATAAGTGCATCCATTCATTCATTAAAATGCATTTACTAGCTGGCCAGGTAGCACACCTACAATCCCGGCAGCTCCAGAGGCTGAGGCAGGAAGATCAGGAGTTCAAAGCCAACTTCAGCAACAGCGAGCCGCTAAGCAACTCAGTGAAACCCTGTCTCTAACTAAAATAAAAAAAAAGATCTGGGGAGTAGCTCAGTGGTTGAGGGCCCCTGAGTTCAATCCCCAGTACCCTAAATAAATAAATAAAAGGATTCTTTTTTTTTCTGTCTCTGATAACCATCCCATCCCTAAGTACACCAAGGAATGAAGTAGCTGTGGTGGTAAACAAATGCAGTTTGATTTATCAGTCTGTCGTTGTTCATTAAACATTCCACACCACCAGCAATGTAGAGAAGCGTTTCTTGGTTTGCTAAAGATTATGCACTTGGTGCTGGTCAAATATAACAAGTATGTTAATCTATGGTTTTCTATTCTCAACTTCTTGGTGTTTTCTATTCTCAACTTCTGGGTATATACCCCTTTTGCTGCTTTTAGCTAAACTTGACCCTTAACTTACTACAGATGACCTAATTGCTCTTGTTAAAGGTTTAATCACTAGGGATAGTTAAGAGCTCTTTTTGTTTTGTTTTGTTTTGTTTCCTTCTTTTTCTTTCTCTCCCTCCCTCCCTCTCTCTCTCTCTCTCTCTCTCTCTTTTAATGTAGTGCTGGGGCTAGAACCAGGGCCTTGAGCATTCTAAGCCTGTTTTCTACCATTGATTTACAACCCCAGCCTATAACTATTCCCCCAGCCTATAACTACTCCACTTATTAAATTTTTTTAAAGGGGTGGGGCTGGGGTTGTGGTTCAGCGGTAGAGTGCTTGCCTAGCACATACGAGGCCCTGGGTTGGATCTTCAGCACCACATATAAATAAATGAATAACTTTTTAAAAAAATGGTTTGTACTCCTCTTGTGAGGATGTTAATATTATTAGAATGAATGGTTCAGGACTATAACGTCTGAAAAATGTTTATTTACATAGCAAAGGAAGACTATTTTGCCTGTTACATGACTTCCAGAACTTGGAGCTAGAAGTATTAAATTCAGGTCTTTTTTTTTAACTCATGACCATCAGTAAATTCTTGAACATTGTTTCCCCACCAGCTGATGTTGTCATTTGCTAAAGGAAATAACTGCCACCTCTCTGAGAGTTGGAGTGAAAATTAAAGGAGATATGTGAAAGTGCTTTATAAACTGTCAAATATCAAACACATGAAGGATTATAAGAGTAAAAAATAGTGCTCTCCAAAGATTAATCATTTTGAAAACGTTATAAACATAAATTATTGGTTTCCATATTCAAACCATAACAAATTCTTGTAGTCACAATGAGGTGAGTAATTAAAATTTGGGGAAAGATAATAATTTAGCATTTTTAATAGATGTGAAAATACTATTTTCACTTCCCACAGAGGAATATACAACATTTTGGGGTTTTTTGTTTTCCACTGGTACTGGGAATGAACTCGGGGGGCACTTTACCACCAAGCTATATCCCCAATCGCGATCCCCGTCCCCGCCCGCCTTTTTTCTTTCTTTTTCTTTCTTTCTTTTTTTTTTTTTTCTTTGATAAATCGCCAAGGCTGGCTTCGAAGATATGATCCTCCTCTCTCAGCCTCCTTAGTCGTGGGATTACAGGTCTGCGCCACCGCGCCGCGCTAGTGTTTTTGATGTTTGTATTTAAAGTCGTCTTAACAATGATTTGCCTAGAAATCCAGCCATTGCCTGGGGATTTTCTTAGGATTAATGGAAGTTAGGGCTACCCCTCCCCTCACTCTACCTGTAAAAAATTACCGCTGCCTTTTCCTCCGAGTGCGAGAGAAACTGGGTTCAGATTCCATCCAGCATAATAAACCATGTCAGTGTTGAATCCGATGAGATTCTCCAAACATTTCCAGTCCACTCTGCAGGAGTTACATTCAGTGGAACAGAAGGGTCAGGCAGGTGACAACTTCTAGGTTCCCGATTCCTTTTCCGAGATGCAGTCTTCAGCTTCCCCGACACCGGGAAAGCAGTCCAGCTGCAGGCTGGGCGGGGGTGGACTGTGCAGACCCAAGCCCTGGGAGGTGGACCCCGGCCTGCCAGGCGGGGCTGGGCCTGGGTCGGCGCCCCTCCCCGGGGCGGGGCGCTCGAGGCTCACAGCCTCGCGGAGTCTGGGCAGTCTGCGCCAGGCAATCTAGGCTGCCGCGCCGCCAACCCAGGCGAGATGTATCTCCGCAGGGTGGTCTCAAAGACCTTGGCGCTGCCGTTGAGGGCTCCCCCCAACCCGGCGCCGCTCGGGAAGGACGGTGAGTGCGGGAAGCCCCTGGATCCTCCTGCACCCAGTCCGCCAAACTCGTCCCGGAGCAGCAGAAGGCTGGGTTGGGGGTGCAGGGGAATAAGGGAAAGTTTGGAGGGGACGAGGCTCCAAAGTTCTCGGATGCTTGGGCATTAGGGAACCTTTCAGCGTGGCCTCTGAATCCGGACTAGGATTTCTGGTTCAAATGTGGACCTCGAGAAAGTGATCTAACCTGTTTTCATCATCCGTTCAGTGGAAACAGTGATAATTGTGAGTTTTTAAAAAGTGCCGGCGAACATACTCGTAGCTTACTACTTGTATTGTTATAGGGATCGTTTCGCTCCCGATCTCAGGAGGAAGCAGGATTGGGTGGGAAGGTGGACTCCGCCGCGAGCCAGGCGGCGCGCGGGAGCGAGTGCGGAGAAGTAAGACGTGCGTAAAAGCTAAGTCACCAAACCTGGCCGGGCTCGAGAGCCTGAACCCCGCGAGCAGCCTGGCCTCAGCGTCCCCCCCCCCCAGAGGAAGAGCGCTTCGGTCGCTTTCCTAAACTAGGTTGCAGATAGGCCTGCGGCTATCCAACTGTTTGGCTCTGGGGTTCAGATATTTTTCATCTTTGGCTTTAGGGATGCGTGAGAAAAGCATGCGATTCTAAAGGGGAGGTTGCAAGGTGGAAGTTGATTAAATAATTATTGACATAAACCGGACGTAACGGCACACGCCCATCATCCCAGAGACGCAGAAAACTGAAGCAGGGGGTGGCAAGTTCACAGCCAGCCTCAGCAATTTAGCGAGGCCCTGAGCAACTTTGGCAGACTCTGCCTCAAAATAAAAATAAAAAGGGCTGGGGATGTAGCTGAGTGGTAAAGTGCCCCTGGGTTCCGTCCCTGGTACCCCACCCCCCTACAGAGCCTGGAACATAGTAGGTGCTTGACTAGTGAGCAAGCAAGAATCTTCTTTTCACCCTGGCTGCCCGGGGCTCTGGGACAAGATTTGCAGTCCGACGCCCGCCGCCCTTTCCTGGTCCTCAGGCACCTTCCCCGTCGCTGATTGAGGGACGGGGGTTAGACAATCTCATGGAAAGGTCTGGATTCTTTCTTCACTTCGACCCTCCTCCCGAAGCTCCCGAGGCGGCTTTAGCCCGGAGTGTGGATTCGAGGCAGAAAGAGTCTGCGGAAAATTCCATGCGGCCGGTTTGTTGTTGTTGTTGTTTTGTTTTTGCGTTTTTCTGTTGTCTTGTTTTTGTTTTTCGGCTTAAATTAGGCGTGTGTTGGTGGAGGAGAGAAGGAGGAAGAAGGTCTACCCAACTAGCTTTATTTTTCTTTTAAAATGCAAGTGCGGGGAAGATGCCCCACAAGCTTCGCTGATCATTATACCTACTACGAGCTATTTTCTCCCATTGGTGAAATGGGGCACAATACCCTTATTTTACACTTCTGAAGATAACGGGCTGTTTTGATGGGGAAGTGAGGAGAAAAATGAGCACCGCCCTCCCGACCTTGACCGTGGCCTTTCAGGTTTTCCCAGCCAAACCTCACAAACATACACACCGGTTTTTTGGTAGCTGGTAGAATTCAGAGTGACTTTCTTTCCAAAATGGGGCAAAATAGAAGTAATTGAAAATTCCAGATATATAGTTAGCTATATTGGTAGTAAGAGTCTTTATCTCATCTAATTACTATTTTCTAAGTACTGATTTGTGTTTTAAGAACTATCATGGGTGGAAACCTATTTGTCTTCGGTTATGGACATTAATTAGCCTTTTATTGGTACTTTCTACTTTGATTTTTTAAAAATGAAAGAAATTTTAACTGTCTCATTAAATTTTTTCTCTTCTTTTTGCCTTTAAAAATATAACTTCTTCATGAATAAATCATTTAGATTTATAATAGTTCATTGGGGAAAGACCAGAAAGGCAAAATCTAAACTAAGTCATCTATAATCTTACCACTCAGGGAACATTATTATCTATTTTTCATAGAGTTTTCCAGATCTTTTTTCCCCCTGTGTATTTTTCCTGGAAACAAATCTGGGTAGTTTCATACATAGTATTTTGCTATGAATGTTCATTTAATATGTTGTAAACATTTTCTGCTGGAAGTAAATATTCTTCTGCAAAAGTTATAGATTATTTGTTTCACATTTTATGAAGGTACTAAAACTTGTCTGATTAATTCTATTGAATATTTCCCATTTCTTTGCTATTTCAAATAAGTTTTCAAGTATTTGTCTTCTTAAACCCCTGATAATTTTCTTTATGTCTTTCTATTTTAAAAAAAATATTTTTAAGCTAGAGATGTAGCTCAGTGGTAGAGCACTTGTTCAGAATTCATGAGGTCCTGGATTCAATCCCCAATACCAAAAATTAAAAAAAAAATTAACACATTATTAAAAATAAAGAAATCTTTTTGAGTCCTAGGGGTATAACTCAATGGTAGAGCATTTGCCTAGCATGCACAGAGCCCCGAGTCTGAACAGAGACATATGGGATTCTTTTCATTGTTCAGGCTAGCCCCAAATTCCTAAACTCAAGCAATCCTCCTGCCTCAACCTCCTCAGCGGATGGGACTACAAAACACTTCACTTGCCAGCTCACAGATATATTTTCAAGCCAACAACAATCTAGCACAAGCCAAAGCCATAATCTTTTTATTAGTCCCTTGGGCACATTTATATGGAATTATATGGAAATGTTTTTCTCCAATATGGTCTTTTTTTTTTTTTTGATGCTGGGGATTGAACGTAGGGGTGCTTAACCACTGAGCTGTATCTCCAGCCCTTTTTATTTTTTTTTATTTTGAGACAGGGTCTCCATAAGTAGCTAAAGTTAGCCTTGAACTTGTGAGTTGCTGGGAATACAGGCCTTTGCCACCACACATGACCCAAGATGGTCATTTAAATCCAAACAAAGAACACAAACAGGAAGTCATTGTGATTTTGCTACTGTGAAGCTTATAACCCGTAGAGATGTCTTAAGGTTTGCCCTGTACAATTTGGTCTCTCTTGGTCCCTGCACCCGAGCACTCTCCATTAGGCCACCTCAAATTATTTTGCACTTTCCCAGTTGCCCAATCTCTTGCTTTGCTGTGTTGTGCCTCCTGCCTCCCCAAGTCTCCTTTTATTTATCAGAGGAAGGCCCACTTCAAAACTCAGGTGGTGTCTCTTCAATTGTAACAGCTACCTTGAGCCCGCTAGCTCAGTTTTCTTAGCATTTTCATCTGCTTAACATCTATAGCAACTTTAGTCCTACTCTATCGCAATTATTTGTCTGCAGTTATTTGTCTGTACAAGTGTCCCCTCCTTCTAGACTCTGAGCTACTCTTGTTCATAGTTGTGTCCTTGATGCTTCTGACAATTCCTAAGAATTCCAAAGTGCTCAAGTGTATTTGTTGAATGAATACAGAAATGTCTCTATCTCTTCACCTTTAAAATAAAGAATTTGAGCTACATGAAGTTTAAGCTCCTTCCAGCTTTAAGTCCACTGAAAAACTTTCAATTCCAGACCATTAGTGCATATACAAATTCTAGCACTAAAAAATAAATATTTTTAAAAAACATTTTTAAATTGTAGATGGACAAAATACCTGCGTTTTATTGATTTATTTGTATATGGTACTGAGGATCAAACCCAGTGCCTCACACATGCTCCACCACTGACCTACAACTCCAGCCCCAAAATTAAATTTTAAATATAAAAATAGGCCTGGCGCAGTGGCACACGCCTGTAATCCCAGCGGCTGGGGAGGCTGAGACAGGAGGATTGCGAGTTCAAAGCCAGCCTCAGCAACGGGCAAAGTGCTAAGCAACTCAGTAAGACCCTGTCTCTAAATAAAATACAAACTAGGGCTGGGTAAAAGAGAATAAAATCATAGCATTTGCAGGTAAATTAATGGAGTTGGAGAATATCATGCTAAGTGAAGTAAGCCAATCCCCACAAAACCAAAGGCCAAATGTCTTCTCTAATATGTGGATGCTGATCCATAATAGGGGTGGGGGGAAGCATGGGAGGAATGGAGGAACTTTAGATATGGCAAAGGGGAGGGAGGGGAAGGAAGGGGGAATGAATGGACATCAAAAAAAAAAAAAAAAAAGTAATGGACATCATTACCCTAAGTACATGTATGAAGACATGAATGTTATGACTCTACCTTGTGTACAACAAGAGACATGAAAAATTGTGCCCTGTGTGTATTTTGAATTGAAATGCATTCTGCTGTCATGTATAACAAATTAGAATAAATAAGTACATTTTAAAAAATAGTACTGGAAAAAAAATAGGACTGGGGATGTGGCTCAGTGGTTGAGTGCCCCTGGGTTCAATCTCCAGTATTCCCCCCCCAAAAAAAATTATTAGTTTTACAGAATTTCACTTCTATTTCAGATATGATCTTATTGCAACATTTGGCTTAAGAAAAGCTTTTATCTGGGTTGGGGCTTTAGCTCAGTGGTGGAGAACTTGCCTCGTACCTGTGAAGCACTGGGTTCTATCAATAGCACCACATAAAAATAATACATAAAATAAAGGTATTGTGTCCCTCTACAACTAAAACCAAACAAACAAGCAAAAAGCTTTTTTGTTTTGTTTTGTTTTTTTAACCCATGGATGCTCAACCACTGAGCCACATCCCCAGCCTTTTTATATTTTATTTAGAAAACAGGGTCTCCCTGAGTTGCTTAGGGCCTCACTAAGTCACTAAGGCTGGCCTTGAACTTATGATCTTCCTGCCTCAGCCTCCCAAGCTGCTGGGCTTACAGGTGTGTACTACCGCACCCAGCTGGCTCTCTTTGCTTTCTGTGGTATTAGAAAAATCCAGATTTCTTTCTGTATCCACACTTCTATTATAGATTTATAAAAAATGTTGGATTTTTACTTATGGGGGGGGCAGTACTGGGATTGAACTCAGGGGCACTTGACCACTGAGCCACATCCCCAGCCTTATTTTGTATTTTATTTATTTAAAGACAGGTTCTCACTGGGTTGCTTAGCACCTCGCTTTTGCCGAGGCTGGCTTTAACTTGTGATCCTCCTGCCTGCCTTAGTCTCCCAAGCCACTGGGATTACCGGTGTGCACCACCGTGCCCAGCTTGGATTTTTAAATTAATGTTTTATTTAATATACATAAATTGAATTGAATTGAATTTTATGAAGTTTTAGGTATGAATACGTTTACTTTTTTGAAAAATAATCATTTCCACTCTCTCTTCCTTTCCCCTATAGTTGAATGTGTACAGTAAATGGATTTCTTTGCTAATATGCTTGTCATTTTGCTCTTAAGATTATTTAGTACTCCTGTCACTTCTCCTTACCCACACCTGCATCCCTTCCAAGAAAAGCATGATGCTTAACATCAAGATGACAGGCTTCACAAGTACTTATCAAATTAGATTGGGAAAATGTCAAGTGGAATTATTACCTGCCTTGTGATACCGTATTCCCTTAAGCTAAAATCATTTGCTGATAATAGATTCTAGGTTCACTGAGGAGAAACATCTTTAAAAGATGAAATTATTTTACATAGTTGTGCTTAAATGGCAATGCTAACTGTGTTTAAACTTATTTTCCTAGCATCTCTTCGCTGGATGTCATCTAACAAATTCCCTGGAACATCTGGATCCAATATGATTTATTATCTGGTTGTAGGTGTCACAGTCAGTGCTGGTGGCTATTATGTAAGTGTTTAACTGTAGTGTTCAGAAATTCATATATTTTACAACTTGTAAAGCTCAAAGCAATGTTGCAATCAGGACATGCGATATTAAATATACAACAGAGAAATAGGTTTAAATGTCATTAAGCATACACATTTGAAAAATACTCTATAGTCATTATAAATATAAAATTTCCATAAAAATGTATTAACTAAATTATTATCATTTTTTTTATATTACTGGGGGTTGAACCCAGGGGTGCTGTAGAATTGAGCAACATCCCCAGCCCTTTTAATTTTTTTATTTTGGGGCAGGGTCACTAATTTCATCGAGCCTATTGGTACACCTGGGATTAAAAACAGTGTTATTATAAATGCTAATGATAATAGTTGACAATTGAGTATTTATCATTTGCCAAACTCATAAATCCTTTAATAGCTTCAATTATAGATACTAGATACTATTATTAATAATAGATACTATTATTCCTGTTTAACAAGAATTGTTTTGGGCCGGGGCAGTGGCCAACACTTGTAATCCTAGCAACTTGGGAGGCTGAAAACAGGAGGATGGCAAATTCAAGGGCAGCCTCAGCAACTTAGCTAGGCTCTCAACAATTTAGTAAGACCCTGTCTCAAAATAAAAATAAAAAGGGCTAGAGATGTCACTCAGGAGTAAAGTGCCCCTGGGTTAAATCCTTAGTACCAAAAAAAAATGTTTTGAAGATATACTCATTTTATTTTTTTAATTTAATTTTTACTTATTTTTTAGTAGTGCTGAGGATGGAACCAGGGCCTCGCCATGTTAACTAAAGCTTTCTCCCACTAGTTACTCCTCCAGTCCAACTAACTTTAAAAATAATAGACTTTTATTTATTAGATTTATAGAAAAATGAGCAAGGAGTTGTGGGTATAGCTCAATGACAGAACACTTGCCTAGTATGTATAAAGCCCTGGGTTCCATCCCCAGCACCAAAAAAAAAAAAAAAGCAGAAAGTGTTGAAAAATTCCCTAACCTTCTCTTCCTTTCCCCTATTCACATTTTGCTCTGGTGTGGTACATCTGTTACAATTAAGGAGCCAATATTGATACATGATTATTAACTCAAGTCCAGAAATTACATTAGGGTTCACTTTATTTATTGATTTATTTATTGTACCAGGAATTGAACCTAAGCGTGCTTAACCACTGAGCCACATCTCCAGCCCTTTTTATTATTTATTTATTTATTTATGGTACCAGGGATTAAACTCAGGGTCATTCCACCAGCCTTATTTTGTATTTTATTTAGAGACAGGGTCTCATTGAGTTGCTTAGCATCTCACTTTTGTTGAGCCTGGCTTTGAACTCACGATCCTCCTGCCTCAGCCTCCTGAGCTGCTGGGATTACAAACATGTGCCACCAAGCCCAGCTTATTTTTTTATTCTGAGACAGAGTCTTACTAAGTTGCTTGGAGCCTTGCTAAGTTGATGAGTCTGGCTTTGAACTTGTGATCCTCCTTCCTCAGCCTCCCATACTGCTGGGATTACAGAAGTGTACTGCCGCAACCAGTTTAGGATTCAGTCTTTACATTGTATGTCCTGTGGGTTTTGACAAATATATAATGACTCTACCACCTTTGGCAGTGTCATGCATACTAGTTTCACTTCCTTAAAAATCTTGTATTCCACTTATCCATCCCTTTCTCCTTCCTTCCAAAATTTTTACTGTTTCTATAATTTCTGTTTTCTTTTTACATAGTTTTATTTTAAAAAGTCATATTCACATGCCAGGCACGGTGGCGCATGCCTTTAATCCCAGTACCCCCCCCAAAAAAAAGTCATATTCATAATTTGTTAAAAATTCAGAAGAAGCATATGTAAAATTCTATCTATATTTTCCTCCCCAGTCCTCCATCCACACCTTCCAGGATTCACTGGAAGACAAAAGTCTTGGTTTTTTGTTTGTTTGTTTGTTTTTAGTGCTAGGGCCTGCACATGCTAAGTACATGCTCTTATCACTGAGATACATCTCTGGTCCCAGGATAAAGCTTTTAAGTGTAGTTCTGGAGCTAAAACAACAGAACATTTGAATTAAATAAGGTAAGCCTATTGAATCCTTTCCCATTTTGTCATAAATTTTCTAAATCAAAAATCTAACAAATAAAAAAATCTGATGTTTATTGTGAAGAAAAATAGAATAAGCATAAATTCTTCAGAAATCCTTAAAGTATGCAATCACTATATTTTGGGTTGACCCTACAGAGATTTGCATAAGGGATTTTTAGTCATAGTTAGGAGCCATTTTTATAGGACTATGTAGGATAGCCAAACCAAAATTTTAACCTTCAGATTTTTTTATATTTATTTTTTAGCTGTAGTTGGACACAGTACCTTTGTTTTATTTATTTTTATGTGGTGCTGAGAATTGAACCCAGGACCTCGCATATGCTAGATGAGCACTCTACCGCTGAGCCACAACCCCAGCCCCCCCCCCCCTTTTTTTTTTTTTCTTTGGGCCGGACCCCAGGGAGCTTTTCCCCCTGGCTTTGTTCCCCAGTTTTTTTTTTTTTTTTTTTTTTTTGAGACAAGGTCTTGCTAAGTTTCTTAGGGCCTCACTAAGTTGCTAAGGCTGACCTCAAACTTGTGATCCTCCTGCCTCAGCCTCCTGAGTAGCTCGGATTACGGGCTTTTGTACCACCATACCAGACTAAACTTCAGAATTGTGACAGCCTCAATTAGTCAGGAAACTTCAAACATGTCATTGGTATCTGCCAGCTTTCACTCAAACCCATATTCCTTTTCTTCTATCATATTTCTGCTGCTTGATGTTGAGTTCATTGCCTAGGCCACTCTAGTTGAATGTAAACCCTGAAAAAACAAATTAGGACTAGGCCATGTGATGGATGACCTGGGAATTTGGAAGACTAAATTTCATCTGGCTATCACAATTCTACTAATTATATGAATTGGTGCCAGATATGAGCCTCTTTAGTCTGCTAATTCTTTCTTTGCAAAAGGAATCTTAAACTGAGCCGGGTGTGGTAGTACACAACTGTGATCCCAGTGGCTCAGGAGACTAAGGCAGGAGGATTGCAAGTTCAAAGCCAGCCTCAGCAAAAGTGAGGTGCTAAGCAACTCAGTGAGACCCTGTCTCTAAATAAAATACAAAAAAAAAAAATAGGTCTGAGGCTGGGGCTGGGGCTCAGTAGTAGAGCACTTGCCTAGCATGAGTGAGGCACTGGGTTCGATTCTCAGCACTGCATATAAATAAATGAATAAAATAAAGGTCCATCAACATCTAAAAATTATTTGTAAAAAATAGGGCTGGGGATGTGGCTTAGTGGTCTAGGCCCTTAAATTCAATCTCCAGTACCCTCCCCCACCAAAAAATATGAATCTTAAACTGAAAGGTTATAGGGCTGGGGATGTATCTCAGTTGGCAAAGTGCTTGCCTCGCAAAAAAACAAAAACAAAAACAAAAAAAAACCCTGAAAGGTTATCAACTGAATAGTCCTGAGAGCCCTCTGCAGCCTCATTCTCTCAAAATGGAATGAAAATTGAACAAGATGATGATCTATGTCCCCTTTCGTATCTGAGATTATGTAGGTTTTTTTAGTTGTTAATAGATCTTTATTTTATTCATTTATTGATATGCAGTGCTGAGAATCAAAGCCAGTGCCCTCACTTATGCTAATCAAGCATTCTACCACTGAGCCACAACCCCAGCCCTAGTTTTATTTATTTATTTACTTTAATATTTATTTTTAAATTTTAGGTGGACACAATATCTTTATTTTACATTTATGTGGTGCTGAGGATTGAACCCAGTGCCTCATGCATGCTAGGCAAGCCCTCTACCTCTGAGCCACAACCCCAACCCCCTATTTATTTTTTAACAGAAAGTCAGAGATACTTTATTTTTACTTCAAAATCCAAAGGCTGAGTATAGCAGAGTTGTAAAAATGGAATCCCACTAAGTCTGATTCACGCGAATACTAATGTTTAATGAGGTTCTTTCATTTGAATATCAAACCTTAAAAGCCTTAATTCCCAAGAATCTTAGGCTACTTTTAGGAATCACAGAATGTGAAGCACTGCAAAATCTGTATTCTAGTCCTCCCTTCTCTTTCACTTTTCCTGCACTAAAATGATTCTGTAGCAGGGTTTTGCAAATTGATCCGTGGATGCTCAGTAGCCAAGAGCACTTTTCCATTTCCAAGGAAAATGTTCTACTGTTAGGGCTCCTTAGATATAAAATAGGCCCAGATCAGTTCAATTTTCTGAGGGTCCAAGGGTATTTCTAACAAGAACACCAGCTGGGCATGATTGTGCACACCTGTAATCCCAGTAACTTTAGAGACTGGGACAGGAAGATCACAAATTCAAGGCCATTAGCAATTTAGCGAGACCCTTAGCAACACAGTAAGACCCTTTCTGAAAGTAAAAAGGACTAGGGATGTGGGGTGCAGTGGCATCTGCCTGTGATCCCAGTGGCTCTGGAGGCTGAGGCAGGAGGATCGCAAATTCAAAGCCAGCCTCAGGAGCCTGGAGTTGTAGCTAAGGGGTAGAGCACTTACCTACCACTTGAGGTACTGGGTTCAATTCTTAGCACCACATAAAAATAAATAAATATAAAGGTATTGTGTCCATCTACAATTTAAAAAATATTAACACAAAACAAAAAAACAACATCAGCAATTTAGAGAGGCCCTAAGCAACTTACAGAGACCTTGTCTCTAAATAAAATATAAAAAAATGGATGATGTTTGTATTAATTAATAAAAATAAAATGCTAGCTTCCTGATTATTAAAATTTAGAAAATATATATGAATATACAACTTTTAAAAATTCGTCATTCTACCACTAAGAGTTAAATCACTACCAAAAAAGCTGAGACAATACAAATAATATTATCTAAATAATAAGATTTTCATTTTTATTTATTAATTTATTGTTGGTGCTGAGGATTAAATCCAGGCCTTAATGTACTAAGTACATACTCTACCATTCTTGTACCCCAGCACTAATATTCTTTTTTCTTTTTTTGTTTTGTTTTTGTTTTTTGGAGTACCAGGGATTGAACCCAGGGGCCCTTTACCACCGAGCCACATCCCCAGCCCTTTTTATATTTTATTTAGAAACAGGGTTTTCTGAGTTGTCTAGGGCCTGCTACATTGTTGAGGCTGGTTTTGAACTCATGATCCTCCTGTCTCAGCTTCCCAAGTTGCTGGGATACAGGCATGCATCAGATTTTCTTCTTTTCTCTGCTTCTTTCTTTTTTTCTTTTTCTTTCTTTCCTTCTTCTTTCTTTCTTTTTTTGTTTTTGTTTTTTGTTTGTTTTGTTTTGTTTTTTGAGAAGGGATCTCACTATGTTCAGGCTAGGCTGGCCTCAAACCCTTGATCCTCCTGACTCAGTCTCCCAAGTAGCTGGGATTACGGGCATGCACCACTATTCCTGGTTAGATTTTTATTTTTAGAATATCATTGCCTAATGTGAAGACAGGCCAAAGAAGACTCGTGAATATGAAATGAAAGAAAGCCTGCACATTTTGTCTATAATTAAGATAACTTTCTGCCCCATATTATTTCTCCACTAACTTACAGTCAGCTAGTGTTGCTTTTTATGACTCACCTTAGCCTACCTAAGAAATCTTCTTTAGGATGTAGCTGTGTGGTGTGTCATTTGGGAGATTTTTTTTTAAAAAAATTCATTGTGAGACAAGTAAGATTCACATGCAGTTCTCTCTACCTTTTACCTCATTTTCCCCAATGATAACCTTTTTGCTATAATGCAACATCACCATCAGGAAAGTGACATTTATACCACTCATCCTTCTTAATCCAATTTCACTAGTTTTACATGCACCCATTAAATTCTATGCAGTTTTATCCTGTCTAGATGGATAGATTTGTCACCACTGCCCAGATGCAGGATAGTTCCAATACTATAAGTATCTTTCATGCTACCTTTTTATAATTCTCTCCCTTCTGCCCTCCCTTTCTCCTAACCCCTGGCAACCACTAATCTCTTCTCTATTTCTATATTTTTGTCATTTCAAGAATGCTATCTAAATGGATCCATAGGTATGGAACCTTTTGAGAGTGGCCTTTTTCCCACTCAGTGTAATTGCCTGGAGATTCATTGGAACTGTCACTTGTACCCACTGTTCATTCCTTTTTGCTGCTGAGTTGTGTTCCTTGTTACAGAAAGACCACAGCTGGTTTAATAGTTCATCCTTTGTATACCATCTGAGCTGATTCTCATTATTTGACCATTATAAATGAAACCACCACGAATACTTGTATGTGAGCTTCTGCATGAACCTGGATTTACCTTTGTCCATGATAAGTTCTGGAGGATGTTTGTAAATGTCTGTGAGGCTGTTTTGGTTCTGTCATAATTTATGTTTTCTTTGTCTTGATCTTCTTGTTTCCTGTGCATGTTTTCAGCTGTCTTTGACTCATGTTAGAGCATGTTCCTTTCCTTTCCTTTTTTAAGCATTCCACTTAATGACAAAAGTGTCCAAAGGAGAAGTAAAAGAGTAAATGGTAAAGTTGGTTTCCCTTCTTGGCTGCACTGGGATTGTAGCTTAAACTTCTTATGGTAATTACATGGAGAACTGTGTGTACCTTTGAACTTGGGAAGAGTTTAAGAAATAAACTAAGGCTGGGCATGGTGGTGCATACCTGTAATCCCAGGAACTCAGGAGGCTGAAAAGGAGGATCGCAAGTTCAAAGCCAGCCTCAGCAATTTGGCAAGGCCCTAAGCAATTTAATGAGATTCTGTCTCAAAATAAAAAGGGCTGGGGCTGGGGTCTGCGGATATAGCTCAGTTGGTAGAGTGCTTCCTAGCATGCACAAGGCCCTGGGTTCAATCCCCAGCATGATTGAAAAAAAAAAAAAGGAGGAGGGTGTTGTGGATGTAGCTCAATGACAAAGTACCCCTGAGTTCAGTCCCCAGTACCCCCACAAAAAGGAAGTAAAATTAAGGACACATTTTCTTTCAGACTTACAAGACAGTCACGTCAAAGCAAGCCAAACACACAGAACATATAACAAATTTGAATGAAAAAACAAAAGCAGAGTTACATCCACCTCAAGGTAAGGGGACTTTCTTAATTATTTTATTTATTTATTTGTTTATTTTTGAGACACTGATTCCCATCCTCTTAGTCTAGCAATGAACTAGACTATTTGCCTTTGTCTTCTTGGCTAACTTAATCCAGAATGGCTCTTCGTAGGAATTCATTCAGGAAGGAAAAGCCCAACCAAAATCTAAAGAATATTCTTAGGCGTTTTGGATGAGTGCATTTGATAAATGAACATTTTGCATTTATGCTGCTGACCGTGGCTTTGACTTCTTTGTGTGGTAATATTATTTCTCTCCTACTCAGACATCCATTCATGCGGGCATAATTTTAGAATCTGTCTCTCTCAGCAGCTTGACCTTTCGTTTCCCTCATTTTTTTTTTTTTTAAATCATAAGGTTAATTTTTGTTTCTGTTTTGACTAAGACCTCCTTGTGTCTTTGCTTTTGAAAGTGTACTGGCCATTAGAGTTGGGTACACTGAGCCCCTCCGTTGATAAAAATGTCAACCCTGGGGACAGAAACTTGACATTTTCACCCTTATGTCTATTTTTTGCCTACAACTACTTACTTTTTTTTAAAAAAAAATTTTAGATACAGATGGACATAATACCTTTTCTTAATTAATTTATTTTTATGTGGTACTGAGGACTAAACCCAGTGCTCACATATGGGAGGCAAACACTCTACCACTGAGCCGCAATCTCAGCCCCTTCAACTACTTACTTTAAAATAGTTTTTTTCCATCTCAATGTTAATGCCATTATCAATTGCCATGGTCACTATTTAGGGACAGAGATACTGGCTACTCATGAATCAGTTTACCCTTTTCATCATGACAACAATAAGAGACGGAATATCACTGATAAATGTTATTGAATAGAATCATGAGAAGTCTGTTTATAATAATATTATCATTACAAATATTATTATTAATATTATTAATACAGCATCTGTGTAACACTTTATTGGCTTGAAGGCCCATTTTATATAGATTATTTTAGTTAATCTTCACAATAGCCTTGTGAAGTAAATATTATCAGTATTCTTATTTTACAGATGATTAAGCTGAAGTTGAGAGAAGATTAGTGGTTTCCTCAGGGTCGTCAGCTAGCACCTTGGCCACTCTTCCATACCGAAATGGTGGTTATTTGTTAGTGTTTGAATAAGTAATATATGCACAGTTTTTAAGTTCAAAAGAGTTTATAAGAAAGCATATCTCTCATCTTCCCTCCCAAAAGGCAACTGATATTATCAGTTTCTTTGAATCCCTGTGACAGTCTTTGCAAATACAGCCCTCTGGCTATATAACACCCCTTTTTGTCCATACTGTATACATTGTTCTTTCCTTGATTTTTCCTTTTAAGTCCACTTGGAAGACCATTAAATATCAGCACATGTAGATTTGACTCAGTTTTTTAAATGATTGCACAGTGTACAATTGAGTCCCATGTTCTTTAAATTAACACTCTGCTTAATGGACTAAATCTTAAAGGTGAAAAAGAGAATGTGGCAGAAGCTGAGAAAGCGAGTTCAGAAGCTCTGGAAGTTTCTGTTGTGCAAGCTGAGGTGGTAGGTGCTGAAGACATTGCAGAGGCTGCAGTTGGGGACGTAGAAGAGTCCACGGGTCCCAGTGGTGTGGAGGCCACTAAGGAGGAGGTGACGTCTGTGGGTGCTGAAACGGAGCCCAAGGTTACAAGTGCACAGATGAGTGACACCACAGAGGACGGTTCTGAAATGACCCCAGAGGCTACGAATGTAGCAGCAGGTGAAGGCATTTCCACCTGTAACAATCAAGGTATTCCAGAGAATGACTGCTCCCAGGAATGTGCTGAGCCGGAAGGAACTTCTCCAGCTGATTCCCAGTCCTCTGCTGGGCATTTGCAGGAAGAAGCTGATGCTGGTTCCCAGGCTGCCTCAGGCTAATCTCCTGCCAGTAGCCGGTTCTGCAAAAAACAAAAAACGTAATAGTGTGTCTAATAGCTGCCTTTGTATTTTTAGTAATTTTGGTTTTGAAAAGACATCTTCCTAAAACACTTTGATGATCCCTGAAGATTTTTGGTATCTTCTGGTAGAGTTTTGAGAGATTTCCAATTTTACATTTCTTAATTATTTTCTACTCTCTAAAATTAGATCATGACATTGCAGTAAAGAGTTTATAGTTTTAGCTGGGTACAGTGGCACACGCCTGTGATCCTAGCAGCTTCAGAGGCTGAGGCAAGGAGGCTTACAAGATCCAGGCCAGCATCAGCAACTTAGTGAGATCCTGACTTAAAAGAAAAATTTAAAAGGGCTGGGGATGTGGCTCAGTGATTGAGCACCCCTGGGTTCTATTCCTGGTACCAAAAACAAAAAACAAAAAACAGCTGAAATAGTTTTACCTTGAATTTAAATTTTGCATTATAGAAATTATCTCTATATCTTGTTTTCACTTTAATTTTGCTCTTTTTGCTCTGCTTTTACCTTTATTATGTAGAACTGGATTATCAAGCTCAATTTGAACTCATTTAAATAAAATTAGAAAATCTTTAGTGTTTCTATTTTGATTCACTAATACTTATATAGGTATAAATAATACACTGTATTATATATTAACATATACACATGAAGAAATTAAGCTTTCATAATATGATTGAAGAAGGGACATATTTGTGGAGAACTGTGCCTATGATAATGTATATGCCTTCCCCCCTCTCTATTAATATATAACAGGCTGTGCAGATATTTCCTGGTTCAATTCAAACAATATTTTTTGAGGACTTACACTTTGTGCTGGGAGTCATTCATTCATTCATTCATTCATTCATCTGAGCACCTACAACCAACAGAGGCACTGTTTTAAATCTTCCTCACTATATATTGTAGAGTAGGACTAGATAGTAAACAAGATAAATAAGGAAACTGTAAGAATGTTAGAAACTGGCAAGTGCCTAAGGTAAAAGTAATGAAGAAAAAAAGGATTATAAGTACTGGTTTGGGGTGGAAGTTGTCATTTAAAAAAAATTAATTTTTTTAGTTTTTGATGGACACGATACCTTTATTTTATTTATTCATTTATTTTTTATGTGGTGCTGAGGATCCAACCCAGGGCCTCTCACGTGGTAGCCAAGCGCTCTACTGCTGAGCCATTACCCCAGCCCCAAAGTTGTCATTTAAATAGAGCAGCCAGAGCAAGTCTTACTAGGAAGGTGTGTTTTAAGTAAAGATCAGAAGACTACATCAGGGACCTCATCACCAGGACCTCGGCAGGGAAGATCATTCCACGTGAGGGAATGGACATGTGCAAAGGATCTGCAGCAGGAGCATGCTGAAGAATTTGAGGAATTGCAAAGTGACCCGTGTGGCTGAGGTGGAGTGACAGGGAGAATAGTTGGAGATGATCTCAGAGGGAAGGAGATGGGGGCGCGGATGAGCTAGGTCATGTGGAGTTATGCAAGATTTTGGATATTGGAAATCAATAAATTGGGAAATCATAGTAAGTTGGGAAATCATAGTGGACACTGCCAGTGCTCTGTCTGGATCCCCTTAACTGGGTGCATTTACCCCCAGCTGTTATGTTACTCCCCACCCCTACCCACCCTTCACCCCAGGCAGCTCATCACCAAAGACTGACAAGCGCTGTGGTACTAAAGGTGGGGCCAACTCTGCAGTACAACTCAGAGCTCCCCATGGTCAGGTTGAAGCTAGTCCCCAGCTGAGATCACATCCTCCTTGAGCACCACCCCCCCACACCCTGTGGCATACATCCTTTCTTCCTATCTGTTCTACTGAGAGCATTCCTACATAAACCACTTGGCCAAGAATCCGTTTCCAGGGAGCTTCACTTAGCATAACTGGATATGGTCCTGGGAGGCAGATGTCAGAAAGGCCCCTGGAGTTGTCACTCTCCATCTGGATGCAATGAGGATCCCTCACTGGTGGTCAGTGCAGGATTGCTGGTCCCTGGCAATCTGCAGCAATGTGATTACTAAGCTTTTCAACAATGGTAAACTGAGGCAGGATATAGGTGAAATGTTATTACTGAATAGCCTAACATCCCAGAGAGCTGAGAGGTATAGAAAAACATAACCGTAAGCACTTAATCATGTTTTTTTTTTTTTAAGAGAGAGGTGAGAGAGAGAGAGAGAGAATTTTTAATATTTATTTTTTAGTTTTTGGCGGACACAACATCTTTGTATGTGGTGCTGAGGATCGAACCCAGGCCGCACGCATGCCAGGCGAGCGCACTACCGCTTGAGCCACATCCCCAGCCCCACTTAATCATGTTTTGAGGTATAGGATGGTACCTTGATTTGTCCCAATATCAGCTCTGCATTGGATTCCCAAGTTCAAGGCCTATGGCACAACTGAAGGGATGCTGCTTTACTGGACACTCTGAAGATGGGGCAGAAGCACTCCCAGCTCTGCCCTCACTGACCTGATGCACACAGCACACACACAGGCATTCTTCCCACTGTTCTGGTTTGGAGAGTTTCTACTGCAAATAACAGAAGCCAGTTCAAAACGGATTAAACAACAGAGAGTTCTTATATAACCAGATATCCAGGGTGGGTTTATTCTTCCGTGACTCAATCAAGAACCAGGTCATGTATAACTAAAAAGAACAACAACAAAAAAAATAAATAAATAAAGGAAAGAAAGAACAGGGAAAAAAAAAAACAGGTCATCTGTGATCCTTCTCTACGATCAAGAATGTTCAGGCTTTAACCTTGGCCAACTTTCCTCATCATCACAAAATGAATCACCACATTCAAGGTATTTTATTCTGCAAAAAAAGAAGAAGAAGAAACTTCTTCATCTTAAAAAAAAAAAAAAGCTTAAATACAGTCTTTTTTAGTGGTCAGTGGACCTTTATTTATTTATTTATTTATTTATTTATTTATATGCAGTGCTGAGAATGAAACTAAACCCAGTGCCTACACATGCTAGGCAAGTGCTCTACCTCTGAGCCACAACCCCAGACCCCAGTCTTTTATTTTTTAACATTTTTTAAAAATTCAGTTAGTTAGTTAGTTAGTTAGTTAGTTAGTTGTAGATGAGCACAAGACCTTTGCTTTATTTATTCATTTATTTTTTATGTGGTGCTGAGGATTGAACTCAGTGCCTCACGCGTGCCAGACAAGCACGCTATCCCTGAGCCACAACCCCAGCCCTTAACATTTCTGTTGTACAAAATTTCAAACAAAAGTAGAGAGAACAGGATAGTGAGTCTTCATGTGCCCTAAACCATGAAGTCGGAGTAGTGTGTTCAACAGTGAAATGTAGTTAAAAGATCATAAGGCAACAAAACTTGACTTTGACTTGGTTACTCTTTTTTTTTTTTTTAAGCTTTAGCACTATTACTTTTTCACATTTCTCAACAGGGTTGAAGAAAAAAACTAGCTATGCCTAGCAGACCAGAATTTGTCTGGCTTAGCCTCCTGGCCAATCTGAAATTCTTCTCTGAACTGATAAATGCCAAAATGTGACTGCATACAAACAAATTTTTTTTCTTTTAAAAATTCAGTATTGGGCTGGGTTGTGGCTCAGAGGTAGAGTGCTTGCCTAGCATACCTGAGGCACTGGGTCCGATCCTCAGCACCACATAAAAATAAAATATATTGTATCCACCTATAACTAAAAAATAAATATTTTTTTAAATTCAATATTTATTTAATAACTTTTTTTTTTCTTGGTACAGGAAACTGAACTCAGGGGTGCTTAAGCTCTGAGGCACATCCCCAGTCCTTTTTATTTTTTAGCTAAATTGCTGAGACTGGCTATGACCTTGCAATCCTCTGCTTCAGCTTCTTGAGTCACTGGGATTGTAGGCATGCACCACCATGCCCAGCCTAAAACCATCTTTTGAAGTAGTAGCTATCAAGTCCAAACTCAACTTGTCTAATGAAACTTTTTTCAAATTTAACAACCAAGGTAGGAAAAGTTGAACAACAGCATCCCACAAGCAATATCTTTATCATTAGAATTTTGACTGATTTTAATAACAATACACTGAAAAAGTCGGAGCAGGACAAATAGAGGTCTAGAATGTGAAGCATATTGCAAAAGATAAAAATTGCTAGTGGAGTCACATAGGCAAGATATTTCTCTTTAATGCAAGCAAGGGATACAAAGGAAGAATAAGTTTGAAAAATGCAACAGCGCTCACCTAGCATGGGCGGGACCCAGGTTTGATCCTCAGCACCACATAAAGATGAGTGCATTGTGTTGTGTCCATCTACACTTATAAAAAATAAAAATTAAAAAAAATGTTTAAAAAAAAAGAAAATAATACAGTCTTAAGTAATGGGGACAGTCTTGAGTAATGGATCTGAGACAATTATTTTTGTCCATTTTTTCTTTTTAAATAAGAAACTTCTATCACAAAGTACAGTATATTCCACAACCAGCTTTTGAGAATTCAAGCTGAATTCAGGGAAGATTGGATTCTGAATAAGTTAGTTTCTGGGACAACTGTTTGTCCTGTCATAGCATCCATTGATATACAGCTACCTGTCCATTTTAATAAAGCACACTACATAACGTTTTTCCTCAGTTAAAATAAAGAAATTTCTAGAAAAATATTATTTAACCTTTAGGGTATTTTTGTGAACAAGTTGGGAGAATTTTGAATTTCTCAGATATATTATAATTCCAAATAATCATTGCTCAATTAAAAATCAACCTAATATAAAACTTTTTATTTCTGAGATTTTTTTTCTGTTTTTTTTTTCTTTTATTGGTGCATTATAATTACACATAATAGTGAGATTCATTATGCTGTATTTCTGCACGTACATAACATCACTGGAGCAATCTCATTCCCCAGTACCTTCCCTCCCTGATCCACTTGCTTTACTTCACTGATTTCCCTTCTATTATTATTATTATTATTATTTTAATTAGTGCATTATAATTTTACATAAAATCAGGATTCATTGTGGTGTACACATACATGGACACACCATAGTTGGTAGATTTCTCCCCAGTAGTTCCCCAACCCTCCCCTCCTCCTCCCTCTCCATCCCTCTCCTGTACTCTATTGGTTTCCCTTTTATTTTCATGAAATCCCTTTCTTATTTCTGTTTTGAAATAGCTTTTTAGATGTTGATGAATCTTTATTTTATTCATTTATTTATTTGCGGTGCTGAGAATCGAACGCAGTACCTCACATATGCTAGGTAAGCA